CAAAAAGTAGCTGGGCCTGTAGTCCCAGCTACTGGGGAGGCTGAGGCAGCAGAATCGCTTGAAGCCAGGAGTGGAGGTCGTGGTGAGCTGAGATGGCACCACTGCACTCCAGCCTGGGTGACACAGCAAGACTCCAACTCCAGAAAAAAATAAAAATAAAAAAAATAAGAGAGAGAGAGAAGAGAATTTACAGGAAATTTAAGATGCCCTCTATTGCAAGGCCAGCTCTGATTAACTTAAAGGCAAAACATATCCCCAGCAAGAAGGCATACAGACACTGCAGCACCCCAAACTCTCAATTTCCATGGTTTTCTGGATATGGGTCAGGCTCCAAACACTAAGTCACTGCAGCGCTTGAGGTTTCTAGCATGTTACCTGAGACAGGTTACGAATATCCAACAGTCAATGCGTCAACAACAAATATAAAACAGACTATCTCACTGCTTGCTTATTTTGTACTTTTAAAAGTTAATTCAGCACATGAAACATGAGCAAATATAATCGGGAATCAAGGTTCTTTGCCATCTTTGCCACCTCTAAAATGAACATCACAAGAAATCACAAGATGAGTTTTATTAGTGGAGGTCCCCAGAGCCTTTGCGGACACCCTTAAATCAACAGCACTGTTATTCTCATCCAGACCCTGTGCAAAGTGCTTTCTACATACCATCTAATTTAATCCTCACAATAGCTCAGTGGCTAGGTGATGCTATTACCCCTGCCCTAGGGAAGTAAACTGAGTCTTAGAGAGAGAAAATAATCTGTCCAAAAAAAGAGCCAATGAATGAGAGTGTTGGGGTTTGGGCTTGGATCCCAACATCCTTAATCAATTTGTACCACCCACCATATCCTTCAGGCTCAAATGGCAAATGATTCTGTCTTCATGGGGAAGATAATGTATAACCCCTTCTGGATGGGACACGCAGAGTATGCAGTACATAGTGGGAACTTTCCAGAGAAAATCCAAGATCTGTATTCTATTCCTACAATAAAGGTGACGTGTGTAACTTTGTTCCTTCTCTTACTCCCTCAACTGGATACAGTCCTCGTAGGTGCCATAAAAATACAGAAATTCACAGGGAAATCCCCAGACTTTGACTGATTCAACAAATACTGACAACATGCATACCTACCACATGTTAGGCACTGCTAGCCATGGAGAAGCCACACTGAATAAGACCTACTTCTTGCTTATTACCTGATAAACAGGTGAATTCATGAAGGGACAGGGCTGTAACATATGGAACAAACAAGAGGTTTGGATCAAGAAAAATAATAAAGGGGATGTCCCCTTTCATGTGGGTGATCAGCAAAGGCATGTCCAAGGGGTTGATTTTTGAACTGAACACTAAGGGATGAGAAGGACTGAAGGTATCCCGTAGTTTGGAGGCAAGGGAGTTTTTATGGCATCTGAGAAAAGTAATGGGGTTTAAATAAAATATTGGAAACTACGTGGCAAAAGCTCAAAGTTTCCAAGAGTCTCTTGAACATGCAAGATCTTTAGCCACCATCTCCACACAGTGAACATGACGGAAGCAAAGCCTGTGTCAGGCAGATCCCTGATAAGTACTACTATAGGCTGGGGTCTGTCACCCCAAAACCATCAATTCTGTGATATGGTGTCAATGTCAATGAATTAGCGCTGCAGGTTTGTTATTATAGGTGGTGTGATTCTTATCCGTCTCACAGAACAAGGCTCAAAACTCAAGGGACAGCCAGGGTCACATGGTTGGCACTGTTTTTCAATCTGGGTACAAGTCACCAATGGAGTCATCCATGAGTACTGCTGACATTCTTTGCCACGGACCTGTGGCAGCTTCTGTGTGCAGATGACCAGTTCTTTGAGGGCCATTTTCAAGATCTGTGGGGGACCAGGACCTGCTTTGCCGAGTCAGCACAGAGGCAGGGATGGGGGATGAGGTGGCAGAAGATTGACATCATGTAGCATCAGCCTGCACGAGCGAAACCCTCCAGTTTCAGATTATCATCAGCAATACCAACTTGAAAGCAGTTACTGAATTCTGCTTGCGAGGCAGGCCCATCGTCTGACTAAGTTAAAAAAAAAAAAAAAAAGGAATAAAAAAAGAACTGCATGCTTCTCAGGGGAAATCCTCAAAACAGGACCCAGAGACCTAAGCTCTGCTAACAGGGCTACAACAGCTGTATACATAGCTGCACGTGTCCTTGAAGATGTGCATGAGGACAAGCTCCCAAGGCTCTACTTGCATTTACAAGGGAATATCAGGTGAGGAGCAATGGACTGCGAAACATGCATCATCTATCAGTAAAATGACGACCAGTGAACCAGCAACTGGAGGGTAGAAGCTTGTCAGAGACAGAGATTTCCACTGTATCACCTGGGGTGCCTAGCACAATGCTGGAATTTATGATGTACCAGGATCTGTGCTAAGCTCTTTACAAGCATCACCTCTCTAACTCTTTGTGAGCTGGCTTCTATTTTTATCCCCTTTTCCGGATAAGGAGGCCATGGCACAGAAAGGTTAAGTAACTTGCCCAGGGTTGTTCAGCCAGGAAGTGGAAAAGGTGGAATCTGAGTCTAAGCCGATCTAATTTCAAAGCAGAAACTCTTAACCATGCTGTTACCCTGTATCCACAGCAGGCATCCAATGAGGGTCTGTGAATGCATCCATGACCCTAAGTTTTATGACTACTCATCACAGGCCAGTATAGGCAGAGAATGTATTATTAATACAAAGCATAGGGAAGTCTCATTCTATTCATTTTATGGGATAAAACGTTTCAAAAGAATCATGTACAGGCCAATTTGGGACAGAAAATTTGGACAGGAGTGGCTTACTTCTCCCGTGCACCCCACTCCCATGGTAACCTTTCAGCACAGATACAGGGAGCAACAAATCACAGAAATGCAGGGTGGAGAGTTCTGTCCTGGCCTTGAGTCTGCGTAAGTACAGAGGGACAGTGGGAAGCTGTCAGCAATGTCTCCTGCCCTTATAGGGTGAACAGAATTGGTTGTGAGTGCACGCCGCTAAGACCTCATGCTAATACTCAAGCCTTAAGGAAATCTTACATCCACAGGAAGGAAAACCCACTAGACGAGCATATTCAAGAGTTTAAATTTTGCTTTATAGCTCTCTTAATAAAGAAATTCATTTCTCAGATTTGCCATGGTGCGTTCAGTAAGAATATTATGGTCCTAAAATATTTACTGAGCTGTATCTCTGCTGAGAATTAAACAAGCTAAAATTCTAACATGTAAAATTCAAACAAGGCACAGTCAACAAAAGGCATTCATAGAAAATAAATAAAAATTAAACATGTAAGCAAAACTGACAGCATGATTTCGTATAAGTAACCACAATGGTTGCTCAGTAAGCATTCACCTTTTCTTAGTACTAGAACACAGAATTTACCTGGGACATCAAATTGTTCAAGTCTAAGGATTGCATTTCCCAGATACCCTTATAGTTAGGGGTGGCTAATAGGATATAAGCAGGCATCATTGGATAAGGCTGCAGGGAAAGTACTTTAAAAAGGCCTGCCTCCGCAGGGAAAACCACTCTTTGTCTCTTCCTTTCAGGATGTAGAGGCAATGGCCTGAGAGCCAGCAGCCACCCTGTAACCTTGAAGACGAAGGAACACACTTGAATAAGCAGAGCAGAAAGAAGACACAAACTGCTCTTCCTGGATGTTCTTATGACAGAATACTTAAATAATTGTTTCTACTCATGTAGCTATATCTCTCTTACTAGAAAACAATTCTTAACTAATATAATGATATGAAAACATATCTAAAGATGACACTACAATTTTCTCTGAGGGGAAAAAAAAAACTAGAAAATTCATGAATTGGGATTCTGATTAACCCTGTATTCCCAAAGCTGTTTGTTTAAGTATGACTTTCCTTCTTAATTAGTATTGCTAGCCCAGGGAAGCATATTTGCTGAGCCTGTCTCTCTGTTTTGACATGCAAGACTTGTGAAATTCAAACATACTTGTAGGCATCCCAAGCATTATTATTTATTAAGGCCTATATTAAAGGTGAGATCTTACAGCACTCTCAGATTCTGATGATTAAAGGAAATTTAATCGCTCTTCATTGGCATTTGATCTTTAGCCTACCATAATCTACCCGTATATCCCTTCATCCATATTTGATACTAAAAAAAAAAAAAAGACATTTCAACAGCTTATCCATCAATTGTAAAATAGAAGGAATGTACAGACAAACCACATTACTCAGAAAATAAGAGCGCTTTCCCCCACACTCATTTCGCTCATGAAAGCCCAATGTGATTAAAAAGGTGAAGAAGTCATACTCCACAAGGTGAACCGGAATGACTGTAGAGCCGATCATCACATTCGTAAGGAGTTTCGAAATTTTCAAAGTGCTTTCACGTGCATTATATCTTGTTTCATCCTTACAACACCATCTTTCAAGGTAGTAAGGGCAGGTATTTTTTTTTATTCCTGTTTCTCGCAGATAAATGGTTTGCTCAAGGTCAGATGGAGTGGTACCCAGCGAGGTGTCAGGTTTACAGGTCAAATGTCCCTTTTTGATGCATCAGATCAAGGGACAGCCTACTACAGTCTTCAGGCCAAATATGGCTTACTGTCTGTTTTTGTAAATAAAGTCTCTCTGGAGCAGAGTGACACCCATTTGCTTGTATATTATCTATAGCTGCTTTTGTGCTCTAAAGGCAGAGTGGGCTAGTTGGAAAAGACTGTATCGCTCATGAGGATGACAATATTTGCTATCTGGTCTCTTACAAATTTTACCAACCCCTGCATTAGGTCCCCTTCCCACAAATATGATCCAAGTTATGAACCCTATTCTTGAAAACCATAAAGCTATCATGGCGGGTAGCAGCATTCAAACGCCTGCTAGCTTCAGAATCAGGGCCTGATAATTAGAAAGGCCATTATCTTCTGCAGGATTACTATATCGACCACTGGGTCCCCTGCGAAGGTAGATGGCAATTTTTAGGTGGTATACAGCATCAGTGGTGTCTGTCACTTACCCTGAAAATTTAACGTGTCTCACAGCCATAAAAAGCCTGGGGTCACTGGGAGGGGGCATGCATAATGCCACAGGACTGCAACACACAGAGGGAAGCTGAAAGCAAAAGAAAAGAAGAGGTTAAGTGAAGGGGCAAATGGTGATGCTTCAAAAGCAACACAGACACACGAGCCTTTGCTATCCCTCATTTACACACCACATTTATCTTCAGTATACAATCACATATCTAAGCATCTATTTTATCCTTTGCCTTCTAGAATCGGCATTCGACCTAGCTCACAATCTGAATTACAGGAGGAGGATGCAAAATGTTATGTAGGTGAGTAAAACTGTCACTCTTGAAGGCAATGACATCCACTTAGGAAGTTAAGTTCCTTTATCTTCCATACCGTAATTTCTATTTCTTTTCTTTTCTTTTTTCTGAGACAGGGTCTCGCTCTGTCATCCAGGTTGGAGTGCAGTGGCACATTCAGGGCTCACTGCAGCCTCAACTTCCCAGACTCAAGTGCTCCCAAGTAACTTGAACTACAGGTGTGCACCACCATGCCCAGATAATTTTGGAATTTTAGTAGATAGGCTAAATTTTAGTAGGCCGGCTGGTCTCAAACTCCTGAGCTCAAGTGATACTCCTGCCTCAGCCTACAAAGTGCTGCAATTACAGGTGTGTGCCACTCCCAGTAAATTTTCTTTCTATGTTTTTTTCCAGATAGAGTCTTGCTCTATCGCCAAGGCTAGAGGAGTGCAGTGGCACAATCTTGGCTCACTGCAACCTCCACCTCCCAGGTTCAAGAGATTCTCCTGCCACAGCCTCCCGAGTAGCTGGGATTACAGGTGTCCACCATCATGTCTGGCTAATTTTTGTACTTTTAGTAGAGACAGGGTTTCACCGTGTTGGCCAGGCTGGTCTCAAACTCCTGACCTCAAATGATCCACCCGTCTTGGCCTCCCAAAGTGTTGGGATTGCAGGCATGAGCCACCATGCTTGGCTTATAATTTCTTATTTCTGAAGATAAATTCTCATAATTACAGTGCTAACACATCCTGAGAAATAAGAAAAAGACGATCCATAGGTCCAAATGATACTTTTGCTATGAGTTTTGATCTTTCAGCCTGTCTCAATGCACCCAGTAGAAGAGACAGGAGGAAATAAGTACATACATGGACACAGGCACCCCTCCTAGCAAAACATACAAGCTCTCTCCTGCCAGCCAAACAGAAAATCTTACTTGCCACAGTTAGCAACTCTTTTTTTTTCAGTTGCATTTCAAATGCAGAAGGAGATTGTGACACAGCCTTCTCATGGAAACAGTCACTCTGTTCATGTGCTGAGACTGCAAAGCTTTCATCGCTTGGTTAGGTTATTAGTAGAATATTTACCAAATCCAATTCCAAGTAAGTTGAAGTTGCTGACAGATAAGTCAACTCATCCTCAAGCACTTTCAGAAAGTTTTTGTGAATAGCTGTCAGTAGCAAGGTTTCACATGCCAGGTCTTTTTTGCATAGATCCTTGAGATAATAATGCCATGTATATGGCCCTCAAGATTAAATAAAGGACTCTCACTAATACAGAAAAAAATGGAACTACAGAATGGGTAGAAAGTCTGAGCTTTCGGGGCACGTACATGTATGTCTGTGTGCAGTGTTCTCTTTCAATAGTAAATTCAGGCAACACTTTGTGAATTTACATGTTTTTAACCTACTCAGATGGAGAAGTTGAAACTAAAAAGGAGATGCATGAAGTTTTACGATTTGAATAGTCACCTGTCTCCGGAAACTATGTGGGTTGTCTGCCTACCAGAACTCAGAAGAGAGTTAAGAGATGGTGTTCCCAGTGGGTGTCTCTTCTAGATATGAGATAAACTCAGGCCAGATTTGTCCACACTATGTTTTCTAGGTATCTGGTGTCTACTGTGCATAAATTGCCAAATATATCATGACTTCAGAATCTTCATTCTTATATGAGTTTAATGTGCTGTGTGGGCATTTTCCCTCTTGAGCAAGGGAGCTTAAGAGTATGATAAGAACGCATCAAAAATGTTTTTAAGATAATTTCAGTTGGTAAAGGCTGTAATCGTTCAAACTTAATTGGTGAACTCATTAATGAGCAACTGCCACTAAAAGAAAGACGACCATTGTCATCGACTTATCAGAGCAATGAGATAATGAAGTTAATTATACTGTTTTCAATGGATTCACACTGGTAGATTCTACATTTCCAAACATTTGTTCTGACACCCCATGTGTTTGGTCTCTTAACGAAAAACTATCAGCTATGGACTCCTTAAGGAAAAGTCGGCAGATCACAGCCTCACGTCAGGGCAATGCAATTGGAAAACTTTTCTCCCCTTTATTATCTACTTGTAAAATGTTATAAGCCTGTAAACTAGTTAATTTATGAGCCGTGTTAATAATTTGCTCACACTCGATCGCAGGTTTGGCAAACACAGTTTCCAAGGGATGTGGGAGGATAATTTGTAGGTCCGGCTTCTCTCCTAAGGGGACACTAACTAATTTGACACAGTAACATGACATTGATGGCAGGGCACACTAATGACCATTCTCCAAGACGGGGCTGTCAGCCTGTCGTTCCAGTGAGAAGCCGGTCTGCTTTCACGGCTGCTCAGGACTGGATGCTCAACTAATTACTCAGACAGCGACATTAATGAGAGCCCTCATGTTTATTTTCAACATACTAACCAGTGCTTAGCTTCCATTTGTCTGATATGGTCACTGATTAAAATGTGTTTCATGAATAGTAAATTTGAACTCTAATATAACAAAGAAGCACCGGAGAAAAATAAGGAACAGCTGACTGGAAAACCAACCTGGTCCACGCAATTTGTTTTCTGCCTCATATATTGTCAAGGACAAAGTGACAGGTAGTGGGAAATGCCATGGAGTACCAAGAAAAGTAAGAGGAGTATTTTTAATTACACATGTCTGTAGACCAGTCTGACTTTTGACCAAGGCCCCTGGATCACAATACGGTCAAGAGCAGCTTCCATCTCAAACAAACATCACTAACTGTATGATACTGAATGAAAATTTGTGTTTTATTATTTATTCGTTTATTTATTTATTTTTGAGATGGAGTCTCGCTCTGTCACCAGGCTGGAGTGCAGTGGTGTGATCTCGGCTCATTGCAACCTCCACCTCCCGGGTTCAAGCGATTCTCCTGCCTCAACCTCCCAAGCACTTGGGACTACAGGTGCCCACCACAATGCCTGGCTAATTTTTCGTATTTTTAGTAGAGGCGGGGTTTCGTCGTGTTAGCCAGGATGGTGTGGATCTCCTGAACTTGTGACCCACCTGCCTCAGCCTCCCAAAGTGCCAGGATTACAGGCATGAGTCACCATACCCAGCCCTATTGTTTACTTTTTTGAGACAGGGTCTCACTCTGTTGCTCAGGCTGCATTGCAGTGGCATGATCTCTGCTCTTTGCAGCCTCAACCTCCCAAGCTCAAGCCATCCTCCCACCTCAGGCCTCCCAGGTAGCTGAGACTACAGGCAGGTGTCATTATGTTGGGCTAATTTTTGTAGAGACAGTGTCTCACCGTGCTACCAGGCTGGTCTCAAACTCCTGGACTCAAGCAATCCGCCTGCCTCTGTCTCCCAAAGTGCTGGGACTACAGGCATGAGCCACCATGCCCGGCCTGGTTGAATATATTTAAAGTTAGTTTTTTCCAGGAAATGACCAAAATTTGCTTATATGTGTTTTTTGAACCTTACAAAAGTTTGATCTTTGATTTGTCTATAATATGATCTTCACAAACATTAATAAATGCTGTTGTATTTTTTTGAAAACTACTGTAAAACTATACTGCTGAGGGTGTTTTAAAAAGTGTTTTTTAATATCCTCTTTGATGTCTTGTTTCTAATCTACTAAACCTTGCAATCAAGTTCTTTGTACTTTAAATTAAATTTCTATTTTAGTATGATAAATTTTGTCCTTCATTTTAGGGTGATTATAATCCTAAAATATTCATATAATCATGATTTAAAATGAATAACTTTCAAAAAAAGGTGGGCTTAGATCTATTAAAGGTGTTAAAAAATTGAAAATGCTTCTGATATAGTTCATTGTAAAATGTGCAATTCGAAATAAATAACAGTGGTAGTATTTCAACAGATGTTCTATCTGCCATCACGGATAAAGAATTCTACTCAATATTGTGTACAACTTCTGATTTTATAAAATAGCAAAATAAATATGAGTTCATGTAGATCACTTTGGGAAGGAAAATGTCATTGCATGCAACATTTCTTAAGTATGTGTTCCTAAACTTACTCACTCTGAGACAGATCTGTAATTTTAGAACTCCAAAATGCCTAAATGGCACACAATATGTGGGAAGCAGATTCAGAGTGCAGGCTAATTTTTAAAATATATTTAAACAAGTATGTAGATAAATTGTTCCAAACCAGCATGACTGTCTCTGAATGCTGCCCTTCCCAGGGGACTTGTTGGAGACAGGTTCTCAGATTATCAGCACCTCTGGGCAGTTTATGTATGGTAAGCATTTGTCCTCCATAATAATACAAGAAAATGTGGTCAGTGTGTGGCAGAGACTGGCTAAATGTTCATCAAATCCATTTCTTTCTCCTGAACACACAGCTGGAATGCATTTCCCAGCATCCCTTGTAGTTAGGTGGGGCCTGATGACTGAGTTCTAACCAAACAGATGGAAGTGGGTATACACTACTTTCATTCAGATCCTGAAGCCTCTGGAACCATGCTTAATGAATGCTTTCTTCCCTGGACTGTGGGCCCAGAGATCCAGTGAAGAACTCCTACTTCCTGGGGATAGTAGAGTCACTGGATGGAATTTGCCTGGGTCCCTGAAAGACCACATGGAGCAGAGCCACCACCACTCTTGTCCCCCTCAACAAGCACTAGACTGTGAGGTACTCATGAATTAAACTGCATTGAGTTAAGCTCCCGAGCAGCTGGGACTACAGGAGTGCGCCACCACGCCCGGCTAATGTCAAAAATTTCAAATTTTGGAATGTTGGTTACAGCTGCTAGTATCTCTTACCCAAATACACGGATCTTTCCAATTTCTCCCTGGCTTTTACTTGGGTCTCCAGATAACCGT